TGGCATCTGTATATTTGACTCAATTTAAGCTATTTCAACGAATCTACTTTTATTGTGACTTTTTTTTTTTTGTATTGAAACATCCAAGAACGGTGACAGAGTAATCATGGAATAACTATAAGTACAAAATGATGCCAATGCAGAACTCCATGAGCTCTAGAAGATGGTGATAATCTTTCAGGCTAAACACTTTTACATGCAAACATGCATCATTTAACACCTATTTAGACGTGCCTTATTCGTTAAAGTAGGTCATATGCAGGAAGGGCTCTCATCACTAAGCACATGATACATCTGCCCTTGAAACTGCTTCAAAGCTTTTTGCCCCAGATTGGCTAACCTGATGCACTAGTGAAAGGGTTCAATGGAGAATTATATCTCCATGTATACATGTTTATAAATCTCTGCAGTTACAAGCACTTCATGCACGAAGTGCCATGTATACACTATATGGCTCAAATTATGCATACACCCCTTCAAATGATTAAATTCAGGAGTTTCCTCTGAATGGGCACTGTTAATGCTTCAGCAGACAAAGACATTTTAGGTGTTCCTCTAACCTTGTGGCTACAGTTTGGGAAAGCACCTTTTCTGTTCCAGCATGACTCTTAAGAAAATTACCTGTCTCCTGCTACTTCCCCTGAGCTTAAGGACACTATTTCTATTATTGTGGACACAGTTGGTACATGCTTGCATTTAGAGCCACCTTTATCGACCCTTCGGTCACGAGTTTGAGGTTCGTAAAAATAGCTAAACCTCCAAAAACTTTTCCTTTTCACTCGCTATTACTGCCTGTGTTTTATGGTGATTGGGACCAACCCGAAAAGCTATTTTCTCCTCCAAAATGGTTTGCCCCGCAATATCCAGAACATTGGACATATCCCTTAACCAGGACATTGTTTACCCCTCCTTATGTCCTTCTCCGAAACACACTAAAGAAATTTCCCTCCACTGTCTAGATGTGGTTCCGGTGGTGAGAATTAACCTCTCTGCAACAGCTTCCATTCATGAGTCTGATTCCCTGTTCATCATCCCTGTGGGTCCCCATATGGGCATCCCTCCGACTGCTCTACTGTTGCTAGGTGGATTTTTTGAACTATCTCTCAAGCCTATGAGCTACAGGCAAAAGTTTCCCCCTTTCTGGTAAAGACACATCCTACTAGAAGCATTAGTGCTTCTTGGGCTTTTTAGCATCAGGTTATCCCAAATCGGTAAGGCCACTACCTGGTCTACTGTTCACACTTTCAAGTTTTAGCAGGTGGATGTTCGGGCCTCTGCGGATACCAGTTTTGGTTGTAAGGTCCTTCAGGTGGTTCTTTGACTTTCAGGCATGCTGCTGTTTCTAGTTCCCTGTTGGGGTGGTTGTTCTTCGTGGGCCTTTTAGCCATTGTTTTGCTATGTTGCCCAAGCCTCTGCTTTTGCACATCCCAGTAAAATCTATTACTTGGTGTACATCACAGGACCCTCCCCTGTTTTTTGTGATCTACTCTGTACTGCTTGCTACAATACTGAGGAAGGCTGTGAGTGGAAGGGTTAATCAGGCCTGTTCTACAGCTTTTGATTGAATTGCTAGTGCCAAATAACCTGACAACAGCTGAATACCCTCTAGAATTTAACTCGCTGTGTCCTGTGATGTACTCCAAGAAAAATTATTTGAAAGGTAGGACAAAACTTTTGTTTCATCCAACATCAATTCCTGACCCAACAAATGTTCTTTTGGCTGAATAGGCATACATTCCCACAAACACGCTCAATAATCTTGTGAAAATCCTTTGCAGAAGAGTGTAGGATCTTATAGTCGCAAAGGAAAAAACTCCATATTAATGACCATCGTTTTGGAATGGTATACCCAATAAGCTCATAGGTGTGCTGGTCAGGTGTGCACAAACGTTTGGTCATATAGTGTACACTACAAGGCTGGACTTAAACTGCTCGGTCATTTCAAGCAATACTCACAATACTTTGATGCCCTAAAAAGTACCACCTTTTTCATGGGATTTTTCAGCCAAGCCCCCAGTATAACAGCAGGAATGAGGCTGTCAGAGGTGCATAGCCATCAGGGCCGGATTCCCCACAAGGCCACGAGGCCCGGCAGTGCCGGGCAGTAAGTTGCTTTCTACATTTAGTCCTGCTTTGGGAAGGCAGGGCTAAATGTAGTGTGAGGAAACCGCTTGTTTGTTTACAAGTGATCGCGGCGATGTCTCCGTGATCACTTGTAATATGTCTGCAGCCTGTCAATAAAGAGAACCTGTCACCTCCAAATGCTATCACACAGGGGCTTGTTAGCTCCTTTGTGATAGCAATAAAGTTAAGTGAAAAGAATTTGATAAAAATAAATAAAAATTTAACAAAATAGTAAGAAATAATAATTAAATGAAAAAAATAAAAAGGTGATTAAAAAGTGAAAAATAATAAGAAAAATGTTTTCTAACAAGGAAATCACTGTAAGAAGCAATTGACTGTCTAGGTGACAAGCCCATGCATTGTCAGCATAAAATGGAAGATAGTTTTTGGAGTCTTTGGTGGCTATTTCAGGTCTGTTGATGTCTGCTGATGTCGGTCTGACTGGAACAATAGTGTGTCGGGAGCTGTTCTGGATGGCTTACTGTGCCTTTGATGTCTCCCCTGTAAGCTGTTTACACATATAAAATGATCAGTGTATGCTTCTCTAGCCAAGAACATCTGTTTCAGCCACAAACCATTTCTTTTGATGACTGTCCAGGTGGTATGCCTCTCAGACATAAGCTCTGTGCATGTGTTGGCCAGACCTCATGGATCATCTTATGAGTTATGTGTCCTATGACAGCCGGGCCCCAGTAAAAACATCGAACTTGGCACTCAGTCCTTGCTAAGACATCTTGAAGATGCTTTAGCTTATATGCTAAATGTTGCCATAATTTGTCCTGCAAGATATTTTATGTAGACTCTGCAAATTTTAATTATGACCTAAATTATTTATTTAAAGTGAACAGTTTGTTTTTTTGTATGTTTTTCTTCCACTTCATACAGAATTTACTAAACAGTTGTTTTGGTCCACATAACAAACCACTGTTAGGAAATGTTGACATACATCAGCCAGATAACCTCCTGTTCATTTGTACTAAAAATTGAAATTGGAAAAGGTTCTAGTAAGGCTACAATTCAAAGACATGTGAAATGTAAAGTGTAGATTTTGAGAAATGTTAGCTGTAAAAGTCTCCTCATCCTTGTAGGAAAGTGTAACGTCTTAACCTGTTGCACAGAGCTGGAAGTGTCTATCTATTCAGGACTCTGTGATGGGGTTTGCTTTATGTTTGCCCAATGCAGTTTAATAAAGCTGAGTGGGTTATCTTGTGAACATACTGTAAGTATTCTCCTAAAAATGAACGTATACCTGTTACTACCTGCCACATATAAACTATTCTTTAAAAACAATCATCACATTGTACAGGTTGGTGATTTTCCATATTTAGTTCATTGCTGCAGTGTGCTCTGGAAGCCCCTGAAACCTTCTGCAGTATGTCGCATCTAAATGTCAAAATGGTGATGAGATGGTGAATCCACAACAAAAAATGGCACACTTGTACTTGTCTAGTGTGGTGCCTGAAAATTGACTTTTCTTGAAGACAGAATTTACGTCCTATGAGTGCCAAGACAATGTCTTTAGAAATGAAAGACACAAAGTGCCACCTGGTAGTGCTTGGTCTGGTTTTCCAAAGTTTGCATTGATGTTAAATCCCATGCAAACTACTGACTACACAGTTGAAATACAAAGGGTTGTCACTTTGATCAGTCAGTCTAGTGATTTCTGCACCTCTTTCATACAGTGTATGCAGCTTCCTGTGTCACCTTTCTGTTTCCTGTCTGCTGATAGGACAATTAATCCATGTCACCCATTCTATCCAAATAGCAGGGAGGTAAATCAGGAAGTAGGGGAGTGGTCCGTTGGCTGTGCAGTGTGACAGATCTGTGAATCCCAATATATATGTATTTCAAGTGTGTATTTAGTAGGGATGCACCCAAATATCGGCCGCGGAAGCATATCGGCCGAACATGTTTTTTGGCAAAATGCTGAAAATGCTGTACCATCTTTCAGCCACAATTGTGGTGCTTCAGACGGTTTCTCTCCTCCCCGCTCGGTGCTGTTCTGTGTCCCTTGATCATTGAGTGTTTGTAAATAATTGAGGACATAGTATGTTTACTGTGTCCCCAATTATGAATAAATAGGAAGTGCTCTACATCACTTCCTGTTCATTCATGATTGTGGACATAGTAACTCGTACTATATCCTTATTCATATCCCTATTTATGAATGGACAGGAGTATAGAGACTTCCTGCTCATTCACAACAGGGGCTGCAGAAAAAGAGATTGAAGATCTCTTTTTCTGTTTCAAAGGGGAAATATCAGGGGTCTGTTTAGACTCCTGATATTTCTGCAGAGCCCCTAATAAATACTAAAAAAAAAATCAATCAAATATTTTTGTAAAAATTTTCAAAAGGTTAGAAAAAAATAATAATTCGGTTTTGGCTTGACAATTTTTTTTTTTCGGTTTAGGTCTGAAAATGCAATTTCGGTGCACCGCTAGTATTTAGAATTTGGAACTATACTGCTGAATCATAACACACGTGCAAAACATGCATCCACCTAGTGGCAATTCAGAGTTTACTAAAAACAGAGATTAGTCTTACAGCGGTGTATTATGTACAGGGAGACCTTTAATGATCTGAGCAGAGACATCCCTGCCTTATTCTCCCAAAATGGAATATAATGTGTTGGTGGGTTTCTGTTTTAAGCATGGTTTACATTTCTTTCATTTTCTCGGCGTACACTACCAATAAAGAAGATATTAAAATTTATGCAGGAACGTTCCCGCCTCATTACGTATCCAAAGCCCAAGTTTAATATTTGGAAGGAAGATCAAGTACTGTTTTATTCATTACAGACCTGCAGACTGTGTTGGGATGTATACCAGATATTCACACAAACAGATCTCTCAGTGTGCTTTCTTTAATGTTACAGATGCAGAGCCACTTGGGCTGGAAGCAGGCAGTGGGTTAGCTGCCTGGAAACTCAACGAGCAGCTCTATCCCTGCGATGTCTGTGGAAAAGTGTTTGGCCGACAGCAGACTTTATCCCGACATCTGTTATTGCACACAGGTACTGATGTATTAAACTACCAGTCTTGCCAGTGAAATCAAAATACACGCCTACTTGCAGCATAAACATACTGAATGATAGCTGTGGCCACCTATAGACTTTAGAGAGTAGTCGGGCATGCAATCTAACCATTCTTGTGGCAGCACATTTCTGAATGTTGTATGTTCTCCATAAACTTGTAAGGTTGGATCTGCATACCCTAGCAGGTCTATGTCGATGCAGAAGGGAAGGGGCAGGAGGAGAGTGGCACAGGTGGACATTTCTCATACCACTTATCTCAGTTAAAAACAATACTAAATGGGCCAGATTGTTTTACATGCCCAATCGACGTTCCCCTTGAAAACCTAAAATGTTAGGATTGGGCACCTGTCATTTCCTGTGTATGGGCCACTTAAAGTCTATCTAAACCCAAAAAACACATTTTAAAATATTGCAGCTTATCCATCCTTAGATGAGGTGGCACATACGTTTGCTTCTGTAGGCTTTTTTCTTTAATTTTCACTTGGTAATCCTGCAAATAACACACTTCCTGATTCTGGGTGGCTACACTCACTACGCCACTCTAGAGAAGGAACCATAGTTGCCACTCAAGCTGGACTTCAAACATGTCTGCTTTGTTCATCTCCATTACATGGGGGGTGGGGAGATTAATAGTTTATAGAAGGAAGATAGGATTGTATTATGCTTCCAATTCATCTCACAGGAAGTGACAAGGACATGGCATTGCTGGGATCATCAACAGGTATTTTCTTTACTTTCTAGAATGTTATTAGCCTAAACAGAAAATAAATGCCACCACCACATCTAAGGACTGGTAAGCTGCAGTACATTGATTTTTTTTTTGTTTGGGTTTATTTATCCTTTAAGAGTTTTTTTAATCACCATGTGCGGTTAGCATATTAGGGCTTATTTTATAGGTTAGCATAAACTGCAATGATGTGACCTTACTAGGGATGCACCGATACCAAGTACAGTACTTGGTACAAGTACAAGTACTGATGCTTTTCCAGCTCAAGGACTAGACTAGAGAAAAATTCAAGTTAGGCGGCAGATGTCATTTGTAAGGAGCACACGGAGCTCCTGGGATTTGTACATCTCTGTTTTAATGTACGATTTTTGTTTTTATAAATATAAATAAAGGGATGCACAGATACCAGTTTTGCAAGTACTGATACTTGGCCAAGTACTTACAAGTACGAGTACTGATACATTTTTGTTTAGTGTCATGTGACAGTTTTTCTAAAACAATACAGACTAATGATTTCAGGACAGTGGTGGAGCACCAGAGCCAGGCCCCAGCTGCAACCGCTGCAACCCTGGTAGTTCTCATGAAAATGTCAAGTATCGGCACTGGTACTCGAAAAGTATCGGTGCATCCCTAGATAAAAGGGATTTTTTATATATTGCATAGTTCCTACCAATAAAAGTGTCACTAACAAGTGTACCCTACATGTGTTCCCATGTAGCATCAGATTAAGAGATAGTGAGTTGAGGAAGACAGTTTTTCTAAAACAATACAGACTAAGGATTTCAGGACAGTGGTGGAGCACCAGAGCCCGGTCCCAGCTGCAAGCGCTGCAACTCTCATGAAAATGCCAAGTATTGGCATTGGTACTTGAAAAGTATCGGTGCATCCCTAGACCTTACTAAAGGTAGGGAATTTGTAGTCCATTGCTGTGGCTTATTGCACACCATGCACTACCACACAGCAAAGCCTAGCAACTGTAGTAGGCAGAAATGGCAGGGACATTTTCCTTTTGTTGAGTAGTCCAGAGAGCACCACATGGGTTTTTTGTGATTAGGAACATGATTTTGAATAGCCTTCCACTGCAGACTGGGATCTAAGGCAATTCCACTGAAATGTATGGGTAATAATCCATTTAACTGAACATGCTGGAATTTGAAACCTAAGTTCTGGGATACTCGCATTTAAAACATAATGAATAGAATCGACAGATGTGTCCCCACTTACTTGTAGGAATTGTGCATACACGCATGCAGTGCAAGGGTTAAATGCTTGGTAAATCTCGGAGTAGAGGAATAAGCTGTAATACCTTATTCCTCGCTGTGGCAAGCTTAAATTGCTCCCCTCTTCTCTCTGTCACTTCGGGTTGTGGACAGGCCTTCGCTATCCTCGCATACAATGCAGGGATATCGGTCCTGCATTGTATTTAATGACGTCAGCGTGTTACCGCTGGCCAGAGTGTTTTAGAGAAGAGGCTTTGGGGAACCGGTTGCACAGCGTCGAGGAAGCCTGCCAGAGCGAGGACTAAGGTAACTATTGTAGCTTAGTCCCCTACCCCTAGACTTACCCCTAGACTTAACTCCATTTAACCCTTTTAGTGCAGGAGGCTGTTTGCTCTGTAATTCCCAGAGTTCAGCTTTAGAACAGGATAGCTCTTTTTTGTATGCAGCAATACCAAGCAACCTTGAAAATATAACTTCTTACCCAACCTTTTCTTCTGCTTAACTGTGGAAGCTCATCATAGGCCCATTACAATATAAACATTGAACTGTTGTTGTCCAACATCTGCAGTGTCCGAAGACAAGAACGGAGTACTAGGAAGGTTTCTGATCCAAATACCTGCTTAATTCAATGTCTTCAGTGCCAGGACCTATAAATGATGATTTTTATGTTACATTGCACTGATAAAATCAGTGAGGAACCAAACTGCAAGAGGCATCCCCTGAATGGGTTTGGATTAGCCTTGCCCATGCTTCCATTCTGTGTGATTCTAAACAACCCTACAAGTAGAAAGCAGAATACACATCTGGAGGGATCCCTGATGCCTTTGTTCTCAGTCCAGGTGTGAAGATTTTTGCAGCTTCAAGTAGTTTGTGGTCTCCAGTGATTACATAAATCCAGTGCAGAATACAAATCATCATATCAGGCTCCTGGTACTAAAGTCCTTAAAGAACAACTCCGGGCATGTAAAAAATGAACCCTTACAGTGGGACTACCCCCGCACTGCAAGGGTTAAGTGCTCGTTTTTTTCTAGGGTCTAAGATAAAGAAGATACACTCGCCTGATCCTCGGTTCATTGTGGTGACCACTCACCTCTCTCCCCCCACTTTGGCTGTGGAATGTCCCGTGGCATCCTCACATCCAGTGCAAGTCAATGGGCATGATGAATCACGGGTCCTTAGACCGCTGGATCCCAGGGAAGAAGAGGATGCGTGGACCGGCCTAGCAGCCAGGTAGAACTGAGGATCAGGTGAGTATATCTTTTTTTTGTTTTAGACCCTAGACCAAAATGGGCATTTCACCTTTACAGTGCAGGGTTAGCCCCACTTGAAGTGTTCATTTTTTTGACATGCTCGGAGTTCTTCTTTAATACAAACAGGCATGCAGAGAAGAAAGCTCCCATGTTGTTCTGCTTTGCAATGCAGATGCAGGAAGGCTGAATCTACACAAACTAACATTTATACTGGTCTGAGACTTGTATGACAGCTCTCAGAACACTTGTACAACACGTGAACACGTGTATGTGTGTGTGTATATATATGTGTGTGTATATATATATATATATATCTATATATATAGATATATATATATATAGTAAAAAAACAAACGTGTTTTAAAAATTATTGAAATAACACTGTGTGCCTTATGTTAATGTTACTCTATTGATAATACTGTATGTGGGTCCATCATTTCTTCATGAAGAAATATCTATGTTGTGTTTGGATTAGTCATATACTAGATATGTGTGCAATAGGATTGTCTTGGACTGGACATCGTGTCCCTTAAAATTTACCAAAATATGATTACCCTACTTACATTCTCCTTTATTCCTCTATTCCTTCCTACTTGCATTTCTTGTGCACATGTTCCAGCAATTTTATAGATTATATTATATTTCAGAATAATACTTCCCCCTGCATTGTAACTGAGATGATTTAAAATCTTCTGGCATGACTGATGGGACCAGCTTTGAGTATGCTTGTGTTTCAAATGTTTTAATATTTCCCAACAACTGGAACCTAAATCTGAATCTCACACTTGAAGAAGGTCCCAACCAACATACAAAGTTCTTTTGTCCTATTGGAATAATTATCAAGATTCTTAATGAATGATGACCAGTATGAATAATGTGATGATTCTCACTCTGTTTTTCCTCACAGAAGAGAGAAAGTATAAGTGCCATTTGTGCCCGTATGCTGCAAAGTGCCGTGCTAACTTGAACCAACACCTGACTGTCCATGCAGTGAAGTTGGTGAGCACTGACGCAGAAGATATTGTCAGTGCTGTCATTTCTGAGACGGGTGACAAAAAGAAGAACCCATATTTCTATAGGTGAGAAACTTTCATTTACATCAGATTTGTGTTTTCCTTTAAAATATATATATATATATATATTTTGAATTTAGTGAATCACTTGACAACAGCTCCTTAACCAAAATCCAAGCAAACAGCTCAATACACAATTGAAATAAGGGAGCTGTTTTAGTTAGCAAATGATTTGTATTTCTGGCCATCCAATCAGAAGAGTTGCACAGCCTTGCAGAGTCAGCTTCATAAACTGACTTTTTTTCTACTGCAGTTCACTTATACAGCTAGGTGACTTCCCTGCCCTTAGCCTATGATTGAACAGTGAAGGAGCAGCAGCCGACTGATGAGCTCATTGTTCTACTCCTGTCAGATTGTTCAATGTGTATGCATCACTCCTAATTGGCTCCTGTTGCCTGCTTCCTCTGCCACTATGAATGCTGCTCTGCAGGAATTGCAAAAGACTATTAACAAGTAACATGTAAATACTTACAGTCGTTGCAGTTACAATACATTTCATTTATTTTTAATGGATACATAACTTCATTCATTTAATATCTATATGGAGTTTACATTCAAGGAGAAACAACCAGGACAGGAATTCTGCAAGAATCTGAATATTAGTCTTATACTATTATAACTATGCAATTATATGTGTTTAAGATTCCAATTCACCTTTTGTGTTACTTACTTCGTATGTGACTGACTCTTCAGGGTAAAGTGAATTTGCACTGCTAAGGGTGGATACCACGAGATGCCTGTGCCTTGTATTTTTAGGAACAGACTTTTCTGTACCCCTCTGTGATTTAGGCTAAGCTGACTTTTCTCTTCACTTAATGGCTATGCCCTGGCAATTTCCATTCCATGGGACTGCAGGTAACAAATGCTTATACTAACTTAATACTTAAAATAAATAACAACACACACGTTATGTTATTTGTATTGGCATTAATTGGCCGCAGCATTTTATTGGTATAAATAATTGGTTTCATCTTTAATAACCAACTTGAATCAACAAACAATTAAATTGTTATAACCAACCAAATTGCCCAGTTATTGAAACTCGAGCAATACATCACTTAAGGAAATAGTCCCCCTCATATGAGGTGACAAACCACATAAAACACCGTGACTAGGGAGGGGGGGAGGGAGCTTGCAGAACCCGAGATCCCAACTGATGATTTCTTGGAAGACCTCCTTATATAGGGTGACTGTGGAAGTTTTCGCGGCGATGTTTTCCCGCCGATAAAACGTCAGTTAAATTCTCTTAAAGGGGCAGTAAACTGTAATAGATAAATATAGAAACAAACACACAAAAAACACCAATAATAGTCCCCACATTCCCATGAAAAAGGGCCTCTAATGGATGCCATTATTACATTCTTTCGTGAGACTCCAGTGGGCATGACAATTGGTGGAGTTTAGCCATAAAACCATTAAAAGCCAGGCCACAGTAACAAAGTGAAACTAAATCAGAGGGGGGCAAAGCAAGAAGCATTTCTGGTTCAGAAAGTTAACAGCAGACATCTTGTTGTGTCTGCTCTTGGGTAGTTCATTTAATTTTGAAGGGTTAAAATAGCGTGCCCGTTCACTTTAAAATGATGAGGGGCTCACTTTAAGTCTGACAGTTACTGCCCTACAACTGCCTGACCTCACATACTGGGTGGATAATGTATTGTGTCAGACAGATGACAGTGCAGAAACCATCAGACCGAAGTGTTCACCTCCTGACTCAAGCTGAAGAGTCAAAAAATAAAGCTTAATGACCAGGCAATTACACATCTTTCAACAGTAAGGCTTCACAGTTCTGGTAAGATTGAATATTCAGATTCTGAGTCCTGGCTGTACCTTAGTAAAGTCATTTGATTCTATTTCGAGTGAGAACATTTCACTATTTGTAACAGCATTGGCTCATTAAAGTGTTGTGGATGAAGTTCATATTTATTGATGACTGTGAATTTTTCTGTCCACAAACTCCCTAATATGTCACTAGTTCTGGCTAATAATGTACTGTGTGTGCAATCTGTTGGTGCCGTATAAATCCTGTATTATAATAATAATAATAATAATACCAAGAATGAAGTGGGATAGAGAGCCTCCTTCAGATTTAATAATTATATCTATATTTGGATTGAAAACTTTCCTGTGATTATTCCGGTGTGTAGGTCTTGTTCACATTGACAACAGCTGGTGGCAGCATTGTGTTCCTAATCCACCACTGACTGGGACATGAAGTTCCTGGAAGCTCGTGAAATAGTGCATTGTAACCTGGGAAGCTGTCCAGATTGTTTGAATTGGTTTCTGAGATGCCATGTGCTCCCTACTTAGCAACAAACCAGCCTTTACAACTGTGTTTGGCAGAACTACATTGCTTCTCTGTTGCCCAGAGGAATCCGCTAGGTGATGTGCAGCATCTGGAACATGTAGTTCCCAATTAACATCATCATTATACTCTGCAGTGTAATGCCTTGTTACACGTGGTGCAAAGCATCTCTTAACGAGAAAAGTGCAGCTCTTGAGGTTTCAGTACGTATGGAATAGGTGACTATAAACAGCTCCCAGCCCATCTTTTACAGGCATTCTTGTAATGTTTAAGTGTTGCTGCAGTTTCTGTGTAGTACAGCTCTGCTGGACATAAACCTATTGCATTTTGAAATAATTACACTTTTACAATATTACAAACTATTCTTGGAAAAAGTCAAGAGTGGCATCGTCTTCCGGGTCGTAGGTGACAGAATTCAGCGGCTGCACACATCTCGCAGCTAGCAATTGACTAATAGATGCTAGGAATAAGGTTCCTTCTGTGCATGTACTGCAGAAACAGGACCTAAAAGATCAGCTGCAAGCTCCTGTATTTACTGAATAGATATATATTGTGTTACCTATTGTACCAGCTTCTCTCCTCTACTGAAATTGCTTACTTTCACTGCACACTTCTCACAGTATGCATTAGAAGATGGCTAAAGGACGTTCAGCATTATCCAGCTTTTTCCTACCTAATCTAAATGTCTCTGCCCTGATCCTTTCATTCATTGGATTTCAGTTACTTCAGTTATGGAGGCTCAGCATCACATGTGGGCATTACATAGGACAGCTTGCATGCCATTGAATGCCCTCTCCTCCAAACTGATATCTACTCATCAAGGCATTATGGTATTTAAAGAATTCCTCCCAAGAGCCAGCCCACTACTTGCATCAGGGGTAAGGGCTCTTAAGAGGGTACATAGGCACGATGTTTTAGTGTTTCAGAAAACTGTAGCTTTCAGCAGCACACTTCTGACCCTTCAACCAGAAGCATGGTGAGCCAGTGATGACATCACTGGGTTTAAAATAGGGTATGTAATGACTATGAATAGGGTATGTAAACTAAACACACACATATATATGTGTATATATATATATATATGTATATATATATATATAAACATACACACATGCATACCTTTTCTATAAAATCTGTAATGTCACAGCAGGTTCCTTTTTTTTCCTCGGCGTGCAAGGGGGTGGGCATGCTTCCTGAACTGAGCGGCGCCCACATGATGTTGTGCGAGGACCTGTCATCTCCCGTTAATGATTTACCATGCTTTATTCTGCACTATGTGTCTGGTTGAAGATTGGCCATCTTGGTGGATGCAGGAATTTTTAATGTCAAGGCCTCCAGCAATAACAGTGATCAGCACAGCAAATCTCACTCGAAAACTCCTGGGACTTGTAGTCAGAGGAAGCAGTGCCTTGGGCCACATTCACACTAAGCGACATACCTTTTGAAGCGGATCCGCGCGGCCAGGATAGCGCGACTTTCGGGGCGACGTTCCAGCGACGGTAGTGCGACCTTCAACGTCGGGCTGCATTAAAAAAATCACGCAAAATCTGCTGAAAAATGGGTCCTGTAGGTGCGACCGCGACGGGCGGCATGGAGCTGTACATTAAGACAGCTCCATTGAAAATCATTGGCCGGCGACTTCTCGCGATATCGCACGGCAACAATGCGCAATATCGCGCGGAAATCCGCATAGTGTGAATGGGGCCTTAAATCTCACACAGCAGATGTACAGCTAAGAGGCTGTAGGCCGAGGAATGCCTATACACACTCACAGATGTAGGTTACGTGCGTAAGCACGTTGCCATTTGTTTTGAATGGTACCCCAATGCACTAAGGCAACGCAGCTCCAATGCACATGTCTTGCAGCACACCACAACTCACAGTGAAGCACTATTGTGATGCTGTGTTGCTAAAAATTGTGCATGTCTGGTTTTTTTTTATGTTTTAGTGTGTTACCAACCTATTGATTTGAATTGGGTGCCTTAACACATTGCACATTAACAGGCAGAAAAAGTGTATTAATGCAACGCACCAGGACACCAAGGTGTCACTGAGTCCCTACTTTTTTATACTATAAATATCAAATTTAAACATCAAATGGAGGCTTCTATTGCTAGTTCCCTGGCTGTCAGTATGAACAAGTGGCTTTAGTACTTTTTTAATTACTTACTTGAAATAAGTATGCAGATTTGAAATACTCACTTCACTTTCACCACTCTCCTGATTTGCATACTTGTTCCTGGTCAGTGACTCCGAAAGAAATGAGTTACTGACTGTCTTCTTTCATCTGCCATGAATCAAGAATGTTTCTATTATGTTATCAATGTATTACCTATTGTGTTTTATTTTTGTACTTTGATATTAAAAATGTGTCATAATGTCTGATTCCCTTTGTAGTTGTCATGTGTGTGGCTTTGAGACTGAACTGAATGTCCAGTTCGTGAGCCACATGTCCCTCCATGTAGACAAACAACAATGGATGTATTCGATTTGCTGCAGTGTTTGTGACTTTGTTACAATGGAGGAATCTGATATGAGGACCCACATCAGCACCAAACACTCAAGTAAGAAGGCAGGCTGTGATTGTCACCTTAAAAAACTGTATGTCTACGCATAATAGAATGATGGGTTTTGTTTTGTTCTGCTGTGTCAAGTTTTGGGACCTTAAGGTTAAATGCATTCAAAAACTGATATTGCAATTTACTTTTGGGTTGATTCACATACTCGTATCTCTCAAGGACTCTTTGAAATTCCAGAATAGAATTCTTGGTTCTGCCACAGCATTTAACATTTAACACATCTCTGCTCCTGATGCATTCTACTTCATGTAAAAAAAAACTTCAGTGTTTGTGTGAATGAGACTACCTTTTAATGCTTGTGACAGGTGGGAAGACCTGGGAACTCAAGAGCAGAGACCTTTATGACTAATTCAACCCATTGGAATCTACTCAGTATTATTTAAATGTATTAGTGCAACCATTTTGTAAATGATAGGTGAGATATATTTTCTGGAAGTCAGTTTACAGTTAAAGCTGAGCTCCAGGCTTACCTGCAGTCTTGCACAGTTGTACAGGCTCCTCTCCTGTACTGAAATGGCTTAGGCTCCATTCGTATATCGTTTGTGGTTCCCGCGCGGTTTTCCTTGCGGTAAACGCTAAAATCTTTACATCTAATCTGGAAAGAGGGGTCCTCACTTTCCACTGCTGTAGATTTCCATTTATTTATTTTTTTCTTTACTCTCATTATGTGAAGAATGAATCTTTGCCTTATTATAGAATAAGAGCGTTGTCTAAGTTAGTTTAGTGTTTAGTTTTCTTTATACCTTTTAGGTATTATTGATACCTACTAAGGAAATATCCCCCCTCCTCTTGTTTTTTGTTTTTTTGGGGGGGGAGGGGGGTTCTCGTGTTTTGTTTGTGATGTATTTGATTAATTGTTTAATATTTTATAGAGATATACTTTGTTTATTTAAAGTTTCTTGTATGAATAAGACTCTAGTATACAGGTGAAACTCGAATAATTAGAATATCGTGCAAAAGTCATTGCAGTAATGCTGCAAAAGGGGCCCAAACCAAGTACTGAGTACATATGCATGCTTGTACTTTTCAGAGGTCCGATATTGTTCTATGTACAATCCTTGTTTTATTGATTGCATGTAATAATCTACTTCTTTGAGGTTGTGGATTTGGGGTTCTTGGGGTTTTCATGAGCTGTAAGCCATAATCATCACAATTATGACAAATCACGGCTTTAATTATCTTGCTTTGCATTAATGAGTCTATCTCATATATTAGTTTCACCTTTTAAGTTGCATTAGTGAAATAAATGAACTTTGCACGATATTCTAATTATTCGAGTTTCACCTGTATGTTGGAAGGTACTGTATGTTAAATAAAGATTATGTTAAAAAAATCTTTACATCTACACGGATTCTGCTCGTTGCGGCTATTGCTATAGCCGCGAACATGCAGAATCCGCCCCTGAAATTCTGCTTGGACTTTTTTGTGGGACACGTGGTTTTGTACCGCGTGGCCCCCGCAATAGTCTGAACAATGCATATTAAAATGCATTGTTTTATATGTTTAGAGTGGTACGAATATGTATGGAAAACCGCTCATGTGCGAATAGAGCCTATTTTCACAGTGTGTAACAGAAACTGCAGCAAGTCAGATCGAGCCAGCCTCCTTTTCTGGCTGTGATATCGGTGATATTCAGCCATGGCAAGCCATCCGGTTGTGGAGCCGAGTAGTTGAATGTAGTGTAGCTGGGTTGGAGGTATTGCATGGTACTGTGCTGCCAGGTAACATAGTGTGGAGACCAGAGAGGTAATAGAGAATGTATTGCTGATGTATTGCTGACACTGGGGGAGGAAAGGGGGGGGGTCTGTCAGAGAACACTTTATGGGAAGGGCTGGCTGTTACATATTACAAGCTGCCAGCTTCTAAGGCAGGGGCGGCCACAATTTTTTGTTCGGAGATCTACTTTTCAAATGACAAGCTCAATGAGATATACCAACGAAAAAACACCTGCATTCGGGGGGGCGGGGGGGGAGGGGAGCATGGCGGTGCATTGAAGTCAATGGCACCGCAGCCACGCCCCTCATCCGCAGTGCGGTCGCCCACACCCGGAAGGCAGGCACATTAGTGCCTCCGGTCCTGTACGATCTGCAAAAAAGCTGCAAGCCGTGCCATTAACTTCAATACAACCCCACGCCCCCTCCTACCCCTGAACGCAGGGAGTTGGCCAGCTTGCATTCCAGTGCGTTCTAGAGGTGCCGGCGTCCTGTCCTCCTACGGTGCTCATGTGGCCGACATTACACATTGGGAGAGGTGTCCTGTCCCTTTCCGTCTGCAGCGTCTAGCACATTCAGCTGGCAGCCACACGAGCAGCGTGGGAGCATAGCCGTTGCTAGCTCCTTTTGCACCCGAGGCAAGAAAAAAGAAACGTGCCCCCCAACAGACCGTGGGATTACTGTGCTTGATTGGCCAGCAAACTCGCCTGACCTGAACCCCATAGAGAATCTAGCACTGTGATAGTGGCTCCGCCCCCTGCCACCGCCTGCAGCACTTCGCTCACTTCCTGCTGATCCCTGCTGCATACAGATGGGGGAGGGCAGCGAGGATCCAGAGAAGCCCCGCGGCAGGAGGCCAGGACATCGTGATCTACCAAGGAACGCTTTGCGATCGAATGGTAGATCGCGATCGACCTAATGGGCACCCCTGTTCTAAGGACTTGTTAAACATTATTTGTAACAACATGCATTTCTCTTATAACAATATTTTATTTATATACTTTTTTCTAGCTAGCAAATACTGCATGTTATTAGCGTTGCTTATGTTGGTTTAATAAATCTAACAAAAATTGTATATTTTGTGTAGGTGATGAAAGAAAGACCCCCAGTGAATCAATAAGCCCCTCTTCCTCATCACTTTCTGCACTTAGTGACTCAGCCAACAGTAAAGACGATTCTGACACCCCTTTGAGAAGCCAGACATCAAACAACTTGTTAGTTATTTCAGTAGGGCCCAATGCCCAATCCTGTGTCAGCAGTGAAGAAAAGCCAGACAAAGGTAACCATAATGCACCAAGGTTTTGGATACATACAGTATAAGTTCAGGTCAAATTGATTTTTTCACTTTTGAGTTCCTGCTGTTAGTCTCAGTCACCTGCAATGACATGTCCCTTCTGGAGATTCCAACTCTTTTGCTCAATGCCAGAGGGTCACACTCCTCCATTTGCAGTTTCTGTACTCTAAAGTAATTGAAGAAAATCAGTGTGAAGCTGGAGACCTTTATATTGGTAGCCATGCCATGTGAGGGGTAACTAAAAGTGACAGCAAGCATTCCTGCCGATTTGAAGTACTTATTGTTTCACTTAAATATGTTGCAAAACCTCTAAGGCTGGCTGATTTAAAAAACCCGACTGTTATAGGTTCCGGTGGTCTCACTTCTCCTCTTGGTCTCTCAGCTGTTTGCTGTTGCTTTGGCTCCTTAGGCAACAACGTGTAAAGGTGGCCATACACTCTACAACCATCGCAAGACTTTAGTCTTGCGATGGTTGTAAAGGGATTAAAAAAACGTACGATCTGCCTATCTTGGACAGGCAGATCGCACTCTCGATCATCGCAAGCCCGCCCTCCTGAGAGGCGGGCTTCCGATGACCGCAATGCTGAACGGGCAGTGTGCGCGTGCGCACACCGGCCCGTTCAGCATTTATCTTCCGAGCACCGTTCTAACCAGCCGAGAATCGTACGATTCCCGGCTGGTTTTCGAACATGCTGGTTCGACAGAAGACGTGCGACCGTACAGTAGAAACTGTCGCACGTCTCTGTTCACACTGCTCGATTATCGTACGAAAACCCGATCGCATACGATTATCGTACGATAATCGTGCAGTGTATGGGCACCTTTATGCAGATTGCTTCCCTGTGCTGTTACCTTGCTGTTTACAGAAGCAGGAAAACTGTTGGTGGACAGGTCCAAAAATAAGGGGGGAGAGAATTTCAATGTGGTCTTGGTAAACAAAATGCCTCGGATTTCTCCTGACCCCAGCAAGTAATTCCAGCAAGTATCAGTAGATCTCTCACTGCTCGGCATTGTCAATGAAAATCTTCCTAAAGTAAGAGCTTCTGCTATTCAGTTGGATTTGGAAAGGTTTGCAGCAGATCTTAAGCATTATTTTTCTTGTAAAGCAAGTGGTAGTGAAATAAATATGGAGTTGACCATTGCTGGTACAGAGATAGGCAGCTAGATTGATCAGTGTATCTTGGTTTTCTTGTAAAAGTTAGGCATTGTTCATGCACTTAACTGTCTCCTAGGCCTCGGTATTGGTCAGTGAGGCTCAAGCAGAGGGAACAGTGGAGCTAATAGGGAGGCTCAAGCAGAGGGAACAGTGAAGCCAATAGGAAGGAGGCTCAAGCAGTGGGAACATTGAAGCCAATAGGAAGGAGGCTCAAGCAGTGGGAACAGTGGAGCCAATAGGGAGGCTAAAGTAGTGGGAACTGTGGAGCCAATAGGGAGGCTAAAGTAGTGGGAACAGTGGAGCCAATAGGGAGGCTAAAGTAGTTGGAACAGTGGAGCCAATAGGTAAGCTAAAGTAGTGGGGACAGTGGAGCCAATAGGGAGGCTAAAGCCGTGGGAACAGCAGAGCCAATAGGGAGGTTCAAGCAGTGGGTACAGTGAGGCCAATAGGGAGGCTCAAGCAGTGGGAACAGTGGAGCCAAGCTTGACTTTTAAAGAAAGTCAAGTTTTGCATCTAAATTTATCTGTATGTACCTTCTGATTGGTTTTCACTGGAAGCACTTTCTGATTATGTATTTTTCCACTGTGTTCCCAGTTTGAATTGCCTCGCTTTAATAAGTGTCTTTTTTTTTTCTTTTTTTCTCAAGTATCTGTGAAAACTTCAAATTTCTTCATCCTTTACCTTTCAGGTTTTGAATGTGTTTTCTGCAATTTTGTCTGCAAAACAAAAACCATGTTTGAACGACACCTGCAGATTCACCTGATCACACGAATGTATGAGTGTGATGTGTGTCATAAGTTCATGAAGACACCAGAACAGCTGGTAGAACACAAGAAATGCCACACAGTCCCTACCGGTGGGCTCAAGTAAGGAAAGCAAGTACAAAAACTTTTCCTGTGTTAAGCACATGTGATGTCCTGTTGTATTCTGTGTTGTCTTTTCTGCATATGCTTATGAAAATAACAGTATCATTACATACTGTATATGTAGTTGTTGTATCACATTACATGTCTATGGACTCCTCTGATCAAATGTTAACAGAAGCCCAATCTTTCATTGGTTGGCATCCAATACGCAGGGTGCCTAGTTTAGTCAGAGCTTAGAAAACAGGCTTGAAGTATTGATAGGCGTTGCCATTTCTGATTTCACAGTGTGTATTTCAGGGCTGTCATGCTGATCCTGACTTCATTATTTAGTGTGTTACTGTCCTACCACAAGCATGCATGAGGAAAAGTTTTTTTCTGACTTTACTGGCTGCATACTTGTTACCTGTCCGTGACACAGTTCTTATTAAACCAATGTTTAGGATGACACCCCTGAAGAAAAAACTGCCCTTGTAGTAGGTATTGTAGGTAGTCCCCTTGTACTGCTCCTGTAGGTCTAAGGTGCCTGGGTTATAAATCAATTTTTTTTAAACTCTTTCCTACCATATTTTAAAATAGCAAGTTCGTATTCAACACTAGCACTGATTAGGCTATTTTTTGTTTTTTGTGTGTCTGGCTTTGTGTTAATGATCCCTTTGAAAAGTAAATGAGTTAGGCTTCAGTTGGAAGTTTAGAAATTTATTATTTTGGATCCCCAAATTAGATTTTGTGAATTGTGTTAAAGAGCACATGATTTGGAGTCCCGTGTAGTGTTAAACAGGATACCCTGATTAGCTAATTTGCACATTGTATTAAAAAGCATGTGGTTGTACTTCGGGCCCTGGCCAGGGACATATTTGCCATAAAGCAGTCAGGGGTAATTGCTTAGGATAGCAGAGCAATGAGGGACAATATCTATCCCCAACATTTGCAGTTTGCATGTAGTGTTTAGTTTTGCTTTTGCCTTGTCTATCCATTCTAGAATAATGTGGATGAATCCAGATACAAAACAGAAGAAGGGAGAGGTGCAGGGCTGCTGACGGTAGTCACAAGACACTTTGCAGCTCACAGCCACCTTGATTGGTGGACCATACTGTCCATTGGTAGCCTTTCAGTTAAATTCTGTGTACTGCAACCAATAACACATTCAGTTGTATTTTGTCAGATCACACATAGGAGCCTATGATCATGTTTGCAAGATCTCTAAATACAGCTCTGGACTGGACTGCAAAAAAGTTGAGCGTTGTTAATATGAAACACAGTCAAAATAACGACACATGTTCTTTGTGGCCAGACTTATTCCTCCTCATCTGACTTGTTGCCTTAGAAAGGGGACAGATGGGGAGTATACTGTATAATCATCTCTCCTGCTGTGTGATCCATTACCAACCCAAGCCTCTTAAGCCTATACCACACGCATTAAGTCCTAAAAACATCCATGCGATGTAACGAGGTAAATGAAGCTCCAGTATTTCCATTCCATAAAGCCAATAATATTTCATGATGCTATTTTCATTGGTAGCATGCTGTTTGTCACATCACATAGACTATAACCAGCTGAAAGCATTCCTTTAAAATGGGACAGTTTTGTGATTTCTTTAAAATGATGCAAATTCTGGATAATGACATCAGTTGTTGAACACTTTTAAGTGTTTGTGGTTCTAATAATAAAAATTCGATTAAAAAGGGGGGCATAGCATCCAAAACATTCAAATATAACATGAATACGCTTGCCTTGTTCAAGATTCAATAATAGTAATAAAGTACACAATGCGTGGGCATATAATGTTCTTTCTCTAAAAAATGGCCTTCAGGTACCATACATTTAGTTAAGAAAATGCTAAAGATTTGACATTGGATTGAGCGTCAGGATTTCTACATCAGCATTTTTCATTATCTGTTAAATTCCTTTGTTTATAGTGTCCCTTGCTGGCAACCTCTTTGATTGCCTTTCAGGGGAATATATGTTAGTCAAGTTATGGTTCTCAGTTCATTATATTTATTTACAGTTGGATAACAATATTAAACTGTCAAGAAAGTAATGTGAGCAATATTGGATTTTGTAAATGAGTGTAAAATTTCCTCTGGGCTCACACAATAATATATGTTGGCAGTTTATAGGATCATCTTAGTTTTCAGGCATTTTTCTGAAGTGTTTAGTGGAAATGTCATAAAGTGTTGTTATTACCTCATGGCATTCGTTCTACAGAAATGAAAATGTCCACTTTATTTTGTCTGTTCTCCTGTTAGGTGCCCATTCTGCATTTACTCCACAAACCGCCCTGCAGCCATGGAATGTCACTTGAAGACGCACTACAAGATGGAGTACAAGTGTCGAATCTGCAAGACGGTCAAGGCAAACCAGCTGGAGCTGGAAGTGCACATCCGCGAGCATCGGCTCGGGAATCATTATAAGTGCGACCAGTGTGGCTACCTCTCAAAGACGGCCAATAAGCTGATTGAGCATGTGCGCGTCCACACAGGGGAGCGCCCCTTTCACTGTGACCAGTGCAGCTACAGCTGCAAGCGCAAAGACAATCTCAATTTGCACAAGAAGCTTAAGCACTCTCCCCGCCAGACCTTCAGTTGCGAGGAGTGCCTGTTCAAGACCACCCACCCTTTTGTCTTCAGCCGTCATGTCAAGAAGCACCAGAATGGTGAATTCATAGAAGAGGAGAAGAAAGTCCAGACTACGAACCAGAGAGAGGCTACCCCACTGCTCATGGTCAATGACTCTAGAAGTCTCTTGTCACCTCTTTCTGTTATGTCTGCCTCACAGGCCCTCCAGACTGTGGCTATGTCGGCTGCGCAGAGCAGCGGCATGGAGACGCATTTAGCCCTTAAAGCCTTTGCAGTACATGGTAACTTATCATCTTTGGATAGATACCAGAACTCTGAATTTGCTCATCTCATTCCCTTAACAATGCTGTTCCCTAAGAACCATTATGATGTCACATTCCATCCTCCCAGACCTCAGACGGCACCACCTGGTGTCACTACACCGAAGCACTCCTTCCTTGCTTACCTTGGACTGACAGAAAGGGCAAAAACTGTTTAAAGGTGGCCCTTAACCTGTCTTGGAAACCTGGCAGGTATACATTGCTGCAAAATATAGGTTTGAACGGTATGAAAATGTGTACTGTATATCATTAGCAAGATTAGATAATGGGCTCTGTGTATACATATTGCATTTGCATAAAGCTGCTTAACTAAGTATTCAGAGAGGTAACCTACTGCATACTTCTACATATCAGGTGCTCCATCTTTTAACTTGCGTTAAAGTCATAAAGAAATATCAGTTGTCCTCTTGTTTGGTAGAGAAATGTAATTTTTACACACGCCTGCTGTTTTCACCATAGTTTCCACCAGTGCTTGTGGGGAGTCCCAGTAATTTCTGTACACTAGGGTTCTAGTAGAGTCAAGGAACAATCTAGACTACAATTTGAGAGGCAGAGACTCATGATTGGAAATGTCTGAAGCAAGAGCAGATTGCACTGCCAGTAATAATTTCGATTGCATTAGGGCAAGATACAGGACATATGTTCTATCAGACACTTATAAACATGAGTCTCATTGCTCCACTATACAGCTATGTGCACTGGACCAGTCTACTACACTGCAATCCAAGCTCTGTGGAAGCAGTGTCATATCACTGATTTATAGCCAACAGCCAGTACATAGGGTTTTTTTTAGAGAAGCCCTTGATATCAGCACTTCAAAAATTTGATATGGTTGCTTCAAACAACAAGTTTCAGTGTCAAGGAAAGGGAAACTCGTTTAATAGGACTAATTGCCAACATAAAACTGAGCTGTATATTTGCAAGCATATATGAAAAAAACAAGTTTGATCGCTTTGGTCATTTAGATATATTTATTAACCTATTGCTTATTCTGCTACAGGTTATCCGCAGCCTGGCCTTGTCTATGGCAACAATGTACATTACCTGTACACCTGCACATGTCACTTAGGCCAGAGTTAGCCAGTTTACTTGGAGTCAGTGCATTTATACAAGTAGTCCTTCAGTGGAAATGATGACTGTGCTTTTTATGATTTATATATATATATAATATAATATATCCAGATAAGGTTGAGGAAGCTGGGTACAGTAGTCTTCCAGCAGCTATGCTGACAAGTAAACATGCAGTGACCAATGGCTGACCAACCAGGCCAAATGTGTAACAGGCAGCTTTGTGGCCTATTTCAGAATGTCTCAGACATGTTCTAACATGAAGGTTTTTATTACCCATTCACTAAGGATCTTCCTGCTGGAAAACAGGTCAAGGACCCACTAAGCTCAGCTGATAAAGCCAAGTTTGCCCGGCTATTGTATTATGTTTTTTGTTTGGAAGTACACTTAGCAACTTGTTAAAGCTACCAAAAATGTAACTCGGACAAAACAAAAGCAGGATGGTATCAAATAAAGTATTTCTGCAATATTCCGGAATGCCTGAAACTGAGAAAGTGTACCAGTCACAGCGAACTCAGGTATTTTGTTGCCGGACTTGCTATTTTGGATCTAATGTGGTAGGCTGCAATTTCATGAATTTAGGTATAGACTGAAAAATCGGCTGCTTCTAATGTGATGAATTGGATTTTTCACTCTGACTGTATTTATTAAGGCAAAGAAAAAAAGTTTGGTACCCATAAGCACTAAATCCACTTCATTGTCCTTATTCTGGTAACAGGTGAAATATAGGCTGCTGCAGACCATTGCTGTTTGTTCGCTTACGATTTGAGCAATATCTTTTGGTAATGTAGTAAATATGCAGTGGGTACCTTTCTGTACCGAGATGAGATGTGTCCGTAGATATGGATATCAGGAAATCCACTAACCAGGATTAAAAAGGGTGTTGGAGAAATGCTGGGTACTAGCAGGTTCCCAGGCTAAAAAGGCAGTTTTGCACAGTGCTTTGTCTTGCACTATTTCATGTTTCCCAGTTACAGGAACATTATGATGCTTGTAATTGAGATTATTTCACTTCTGAACATGAGAAGACTGACATTTC